CCCTGCTGTGTTTTAGTAAACACAATCAGAGTCCTGCCCAAAGACACAAAAAGAAATGGTATTGGAAAACTAATTTGGTTAAAACTTTCGTTCTTAAGAGCCATTTTGGCATCACTGTGGATTATTTTACAGTAAAATATTTCACTTTTATATACATATACATTTATAAATAAGTAAGTATATCTTTATAATCATATTTTTCTCTACTTGATATTGATAGTAACTATGCAATACATAATGCAGGCAGTTTTTATAATTTCTGTAAACACTATATGTTAACATAATAAGGCATGGAGGAGAATGATGACAGGGTGTTAACACTTTACTAGGGCCTCATTTTAGTCAAAGCTGTTGGAATGGACTCTGGTCATGATTTCTTACTTTGAAAATGAAACAGAAAAATAAAAGAATGAATCAATAATAGTAGTATTTAACCAAAAAATAACATAATAAAACATATTCATTGATTAAACAAGTTCTTCGGGTCCTGGGCATAATAAAAGAGCACTATTGTATAACCATAATACTACTACGATATTAGATTAATAATTACTTTTGCCATTTTCATGTTTCACAATTGTAGTTGTTACTACACAGTTGAAATATTCACAATCACAATACATTCTTCTTTATATTTTCAAGCAAACCCAAGTGCCAATGTAATAACTCAAATGCTTAAAACATATTTTACACTGAGTAGCCTATAGACCATTCCTTCTCTGAAAAGTCTGGTACTCCATTAGGTCTAACAATGTGAACTTAGTGTGCTGATATAGATCCCTGAGTGTCTTTATTGTACATTCATATAGCACATTAAATTTGATCCATAATCTATGCAGACTGTGCAGTATTTAATCAAAAAATATTAATAATAACAATATATTGAAATGAACAACAGAACATCAACAAAAATTGTAAACATACATGGATTTTAGATTCCTGTAATATGTGACATTTTGAGGACTAATTTTTCATCATTCTGAAACCCATGGACAGGCTTCATTACCCACGATCTCCCAATAGTGCATTTTACCCCATGTATGTCATGCCTTTTATGATAATTACAGCAAGTTTACTTTATCTATAATTCATTACATATATTCTAAATTTCAACAAGAATGTATAGGTTAGATCATTACCTAAAACTCTAAAATGCCACTGTAGTTCAGTCATTGATAAAAATTAATTGGATCAATCAACCATGCCCAGCTTTATAGACCTTTGTGCACTGCATACACTGTGTGACAGATAAAGTATTATAGTTCATTCAACAACACAGACTACATAGGCTACATATGTAAAGCTGTAACATGGGAATAATGTGCCGATAACAATGTAATGTGCATATAGTAATGTGCAGAGGTATGTGATAATTCTCTACTTGGCTATGCAAATGCCAGTATAAGGGAAAAGAACAGCGATTATTGCCATGAAATGCTTCATTGGTTTGTTATTAAGCAGTCAAAGCTATCTCCTATCGATAACATGTATCAATATTTTGCCACCACCTCCCATTAAAACAGCATATTCACAAAGTACAACTCAGTACAAAAAGTTTCCATGAATAAAGTCAATAACATTTCTCCGAACATTCAAACTATTATGAACGACAAATAGTCTCGGTTCAAAACTTTGTGAGGCGGCGGTACACATTGGCACCAACCCATCCACAGCCTTTGTTCAAAAGCAATGCTCGGGATATGGATAGAATGTGACAAATTCAGTCAGAGTAAATATGGTTTAATAAATGAATTAGCCTCATAAATAATGGCTGTAATGACATTTTAGGGGACAATAAGCCGAAGCGTTGTCAGGAAATAGTTGATGTATGAGTTTCATGCCTCAGCGCTTCCTCAAAATGAATAGGCTCTGGAAGATAGCGGGGGCCTGCAACCAGACTATTTTCTCGAATTATCTCCTTGTTGTCAATTTGCACAGTGGAATTACACATGCAAATTGGACTGCCTGCACAAACACCACTTGGAGATGATAAAAACAAATTAACAAAGGCTATAGAAGGAGGATTTATTTCACTGGCTAACCCAGGTCAAGCAATACATGTATTTTACGATTGTGTGTACCCAATTTTGCTGTAATTATATCAGCAAATTATTCTTTGTAATCTTATTATTTTCCCCAACCTTCTCCTTACACACATAATTAACTTGCCTTGTATCCTCACTGGAGAAATCTGCTTGGCTCTGCGCAGGAAAGGCTTAATCTGATTTATTTTGTATTCATTTTATCACCTTTGCACACCATACTCAAGAATACAATCACAGGTCAACTATTTACTGTTTAGCCTGGTCAACTCATTGCACAAAGCTTTACGCAATCTTAAAATATATGCTATAATCACCTCTTAACATCGTCCACTTCACATTGAATAGGAAATTACGAGCCCCGGACCTCCGCGTTTGCTATTAGATATCTCATTTACTTTGTACACACAGCGCTAATCTTCGCTAATGAATTCTGCCACACCAAGAACCGAAGCAATGACTTAAAATTATTACCAATGCACACAAGAAGATATGGCTTTCTCCCATTTGAAGCTCAATTTGGCGGGCTGGCAAAAAGGAAAAAAACTGCCTGTCACAGTAAGATACTAATAATTAGGGTTTTAAGATGATTAGTTTATCTCCGTGCTCTTACGGGCCTGGCTCTTATCCGCCATGGCCAAAACTTAATAAGAGGCTCTAAGTTTTACACAGCCAAACTCCAAATTACCAAGAAATGACGGAAATAATGAACTGTGGGACATGCCAAGAAGAGAGAGAGATGGTTGAAAAGAAGCGAAGACAATAATTCAACTGTGAAATAGAATAAAGTCAAGCTATCAATAATAAATGGCTTGAATGTAGCCAAATGGGGGTAAACTTGGTGGTATAGGCTTCACCTTCAAAAGATGCAAGGATCATGGGCTTGTCACACATGTAATTAAATGGCCGGGTAATGCCAAATGAGTGATAGCAGTTAATAGTTGCATATTTTAGAGGATGAGATGGAGATTTTACATGTTGGAGATGACATTCAATACAGCATAAGCCTCATCAGGCCCGTTTAATACTCACCGCATTTTTGCAAAGCTCCACTGAGTGCTTCTAAAGTTACACAGGGTCAAGGAGAAGGGAAGGTCTCCAGGTCCATTTCAAACAGCTGGCTAGGACACAAAAGCAAGGAACAGGGAAATATTTGGCTGACACAAGCAAAATGATAATAACATTACAGGAATAGAATAGCAACATTTACTTCTGACGTAAATTCATGCTTTAAAATTGCACCAACATCTTTCACTATGACATTTGTTTTGTTTAATGCATTATTGTGCACTGTTCTTGTACAAATAACAGCATACTGTACCATAAAGTAGTAAGCAGGTAAACGTGCTTCAGTTCAAAGTGATGTTGAACACCTGCGAAGAACAAAGAACAAACTGTATGTATTACATTTAGAAAACAGTGGCTTTTCCTCAGTTGGCATAACCATTTTGTGATCTCAGTGGCTGTATTATCTATCACTAGTACTAGGAGTTGCAGAAATATGGAAATATCGATATATCATATTGTTTAATGTGATGATATAGTATTGATATCGTGGGCTGCTGTATCGATATATATTGACAAGAGTATTTTTTGGTATATTTTACAAAATTATTTTGTTACAGCACTACAGTTTTGTTGCTTATTCAAAGGAAGAAAACTCGTTTATGTGACACATTTGACATATTCACTGTTTTGATTATTAAAATGGGCGTGTTTCTTATTCACTTTGCTCAAGAAGCAGTTTAACAATGACTTTTAATATCACAGCTATAATTTAGTCTTTATTTTTAACTGAACTGTATTGAATCTATTTGAAATATACTGTATCAAATCAAAAGTGCACTTTATCGAGATATGTATCGTGGCCTGTGTATTGAGGTATGTATCGTATCGGCAGCTTTGTAATGATACCCAGCCCTAACTAGTACTATATTACTATCATTATTAGTCGTACAATGCCACTATACTTCCTTAATATGACAAAAACAGTGGCTAATTATGAACATTTTAGGTGATTAAACAAGTTCTTGGGGTCCTGGGCATAATAAAAGAGCACTTTTGTATAACCATACTACCACTATGATGCTTAGATTAATAATTACTTTTGCCATTTCCATGTTTCACAATTGAAGATGTTACTACGCATTAGGAAAATTCACAATCACCATACATTCTTATTTACATTTTCAAGCAAACCCAAGAACCAATGTAATAATTCAAATACTTAACAAATATTTTACACTGACTAGCCTATAGCCCATCCCTTCTCTGAAAAGTCTGGCACTCCATTAGGTCTAACAATGTGAACTTAGTCTGCTGATATAGGTCCCTGAGTGTCTTTATTGTGCATTCATATAGCACATTAAATAAGGGCCATAATTTATGCAGACTATTGGCTTTGCAATAAGATGCAACCCAAAGAAAGCCTAATGTGAATGAGTGTGAAAGAGCAATTTAAGGGTAGATTTGCCTGTGCCAGTGCCAGGGGCTATACAAGATTTGCATGCTAATCATTCTAATAATAATGTAATGCCCACAGCACTTTGAGCAAATTGCAAACCATTGGTCATAGAGGGAAGCTTATCTCTGAGCGAGCATGACACAAATATAGGTTAACATTTGAAAGATTCCTGGTAATTCACGGACCTGTCAGTATCCGGGCTCACCTCAATTAGAAATGCCCCACAATAACTCTACCTCCACTCGACTTTTTTGCCTTTTAAATCCTAAAACGTGTCCCAAAAAATTCAAAATTGCTATACAATACGGGATCGAAACATTTGCTTACTGTTAAACAATTGCATCGCATAATAACCCCACAAATTAATAAAATTTTACCGTATTTTAGCTTCAGCGTGTCTAACATTTTGTGGGCGTTTTTCATTGGTTTAAGGGTTTATTCGGGAAACGCTATCAGCCAATCATACGCCGGTTTATGTACTACGTCACATTGTTTACCCGGAAGTACGTGCCGCTCTTGACTGCAGCCGATTCTAATGCTAATGCTAATGCTAAAACCTGCAAATTAACACAGAGTTTTTACTTTTTTAAAAGAAAATCGCGTTGTCATTTTCAGTAACTATTCGTGAACTGCTTTGTCGCTATGTTCAGTGGTCTCTTGCCGAAAGGTTTTACGGATGACGAGCTTAGTCCCGACGAAGAGGAGGATGTGGAGGAAGAAGAGAGCGAAAAGTTGAGACCCAAACAGCAAAACGCAGCACCTGCAGTGGAAGTGTTGCCAAGTGTCAGCGCATGTGATGCTAGCAGTGAAGGGCAATGCAGTCTGCCTGGTATACCTCAGGAAATGTGGCAAGTATGTGCATTATAAGAAGCATAATAATCCACAAGGTACTGCAGCTGACTCTTACTCTTATATTAAATGATTGTGCAAAAATAGGGTGACCAGATGTCCCTATTTACCCGAGACAGTCCCAGTTTGAGCCCTATGTCCTCTGTCCCAGCAGATTTATACAAAACCAGTGATTTGTCCCAGTTTTATACAAGAAACGTTCCAGGTGTCCCTATTTTTGGTGTCCCTATTTTTAACTAATTTGATATAAACCAGGACTAAACTAAGCTCTAAACCAGGACTGTATCAGGTCTAAAACAGGACTATCACAATTCTTGACTAATTTGATCCCTGCCAACAGTAAAGAGGAGCATCAGTTGTCATTTGTTTAGCCAAAATACAAAAGACTGTGACCATACAGCAAAAAGGTGCAGTGATAGCAGTCTGACAGATTATGATTGACATGAGAATGCACAATGTTACATGCTGTTTTCACAATTTTATTTATACCAAACATCCCAGTGGGTGATCACAGTTTTAAATTTTGAAAATGTGGTCACTCTTTGCAAAAATCACCACATACAATTAAAGGAGCCAAATCCATACCCAACATACTACAATGATTCTTCCACGCGATGTTTGTGACTGTCTTGCTAAGTATTTTAACTCTGCAAACACTTCTTGTTAGGCACTTCTTGCATATTGGCTTGACATGTTTAGATATATTTGATTTATCTGTATTTCATTCTATTCTGTACATATGCATATCTATATGTACATCTTGCAAATTTACTGCTTTAATTTTTCTTTTATCAAAACCACTAATTCATGATCATTGTTACTGTAATGCAATGTGTGAGCTACAGTGTCCAAGGAGGTTCAAGTTTGTATAAGAGGTCACTAACGCTGTGTATTATTTTTAAAGAAATTCAAGGATCTACAGAAGAAAAAAGAAGAAGCTAAAAAAATAGAGGTTCCCAGAAAAAGAAAAAGAAGACGGAAAAAGAAAGGTGATAAAAAGCTTCTCTATTGTTCTAGTCTTCAAACTGGTGTGCCTGCATCGTATAGTATCAAGGTTTATTTGTAGGGAAACTGTATTGATACATCCCTATCTAAGTATTTTTTTCATCTTGTTCGACAGGAACAGTGAGTAATAGTGATCCACCTGAAGACAACAGGTATTGCAAATTCATCTGTGACCTCTAGAAATAAGGATTCATGCTATCATAAACTAAAATACTATAGTGTTGATTTTGTTATCCTCTTTTATTCTCTTATAAAGTTTAGGGATTGTGAATATTTCTTGAAATACATTGTACCAGAACTAGTTACAAGGCTGTAGAAAGAAAGATGTGTTTTATTGTTGTAAAGTTTAGCATAAATATAGTAATTCCCTCTATTACAGTTTGCAAGAATTCAAGCATTTGGGAAGTTTTGAGTTGTCAGCACACCGTGGTAGAATGGGAGAAAAATACAGTTGAAGTTAGAAAGAAATAAAGGCATACAATTTATTAATAAGGCAGTGCTATTTATAAACTGTTAAATTAAAGATTTATTTTCCTTATGAGTAAATTCAAATCTAGAAAACAAAGATGAAAGCTTAAATCAGACTGGCACTAATGTCAGTGTGCTGCCAGCTGAACGTATCTCCAAGTGCCAAGATTGTACTAAAAGCCTTGTACATGCTGTGAACATTAACACACATTTCCCTTTTTCGCAGAGAGCAGGAGAAGGAGAAGCACTGGGATGAGCTTAAGCAGTATTTTGGTTCAAATGATCGTTTTCAACCCCCCTCATGCTCAAAACCCCCTCCGAAGGTAACAATGGCTGCTGTCTCCCAACTTATCTGTTCTGCTTTAATACTGTTAGTACACCTTCACATCCTTTGTGTTTCTGCTCATTGTTTCACGTGATATGCCGCTCGGATTAGAAGAATCACTATGGCAACTCGACCTGACATTGAGAAGAATATTAAGGATTATGTTCGGCTACATTTAGTGATAAGATTACACAGGATTCGTGCATGGCTGAGATTAAAATGAGATGTAGGTTTTCTCTGTAAGAATCCCAGTGAAAACCTAAATGTTGCCTGACAGAATAAGAGCGGGTTAGGATACTGTGTGTCTGCTTTAGAGCTGCAAGATTAGAAAATCATATGATATCCAAAAACCACTACATATTGCACTAACACTGATTGGAGATACTGTATTTGCAGAGACTCTTAACCAACCAGTTATATGAAGTGAAGTAGTTTGAAACCTACTAAAGGTCAGGTTGCTGTAATGATTTTCAGTATGCTGTGATTAGGTGATGAACTAAAGATTTAAATAACATGAAATATATAAATAAGCATGACAAAGTTATTTAAAATGACATTTGATGGAAAAAAAAACCCAAAAGGTATGGCTAGTGACCAAAGAACCTAAATTAGTCAAACCGCTAAATTCCATGGTTTAGACAGAAAATCACTGTTCTTCAAGGTTCACTATGATATGAATTATAATGGTATATGTTAACAAAGCTTTGTCTGAAAGCAGAAATATTCAAACTGAAATTGTTGGAAACCAGTAGGATAGTGATACGTGTCCACAGACTAATTCAAACATTTTCTTCTCTTAAGGATAATTGGGCTGTTAATGTAAAAGCATGTCAATTGCCAGTGAAGCAAAATGCCTGATGAACATTTAGCTGACCCACTGAATAGAAAGTCTTTTCATTTCAATTTGAAATCCCTTTAATGATTATTTGGGAGTATTTTGTCCTTAATTTATCTTGGAAAACCATAAAATTGAGTTTTTGCTGATTGTAGCCTGGTTTTGAATGGGCCAACTGTGAGGGGATAAAGACATGATTAACGAGCTGAAAGAGAAAGAACTTGTCATGTCGACATAATGAGGGCTGCCCCCGTTCCTCAAATGCACTTTTTTGTAATTAATATATGATTTCATTTCATACTTAGAGAGACTTGTTCGCATATGCAGGAAAGTAAAAAGCTGTCAAAGCACTGTAATGTTATTATTTCATCTGCTGACAGCGCGTATTCTCTGACCTTAAATGTATTTCTTGGCACAAAGCGTGATGATCTGTCAGTTTTGGCACAATACATGATAATTGAGACTTCAAACTAGACTCTATCGGTGTCAGCCTCAGTATACACAAGAAATAATTATGTGAAATCATATCCAGGCTGCTATATTGTTGCATATTTGGCATTTTTAAGCTTAATAGCACTGTACTTTTGCAGTGGGGTATATCTATTTAAACTGCATCTGAGCTCTCCTAATCATAGTCTCTTTCTAGTCTGTTTAGTGATGAGATGTCCCAGCTCTTCAGATTGGCGCATCACTCAAAACTGCACTGCCATCAGTATCCGGGGGCCGCTCTGCACCCCCTCTCAGTAATGGAAGTGTATAATTAAAGAAGCACATTTATGTTTGGTAATCTCCTGTAGCATTTCTAAGATTTCCCTACTAATATCCAATCAAAAAGGTTTTCATTTGTGAAGCGAAATCTACATATTTGTGGTAATGGCAATCATATTAAAAATAAGACCCTGGGGACTTGTGAAGTTACTTTGATTCTCTCTCTCTCCCTATTTAAAAAAAAAATCTAAATTTCGTCTCCGTCTTTCGCAGTCCGGCCTAGAAAAGAGCATAGAGAGGGCCATTGCTGAAGGGGACATTGCAAAAGCGGAGGAGATGAGCGACAGCCTTGCTACGAGAGAGGTACGTGATAACAGATCTCTGGGTGCTCCCGCTGTGACAAATCAGGCTAATGGATCCGTGTCCATTTCTGCTGCAAAGACATAGAGGAACAAAAACACACGCAGACTCCCACCATTCAGTCCTGCAGCCTTTTTCCATTGAGTTAATAGAAAGCCCTCCCCTTAGTTTTGAAGTACGGCGCTGTCTAAAGGACTTTTGGCTCTGCTTTTTAATGAAGGGTACATTGCTTTCAAGCCAACTGTTAAATCACTCTCCAGGTAAGAGTTTCATACCTTTGAAGTCTACATGTCCCTAAATGCAGTGCCTGAAGTTTTGTAACGAACCGTCTTGGCAGGCATCAAGGATCAAGTGGTTTGAAACTAATTTAGCATAAAATGTAGCCCACACACACATATAATTGTAGTTTAAAAGACACATGGCTCCAGCGTTACTTCTTCACTGTACTTCAACCATCAAAGTTAAACTTCTTTGTTTTATGATGGATACTGCTTTGAGGCCACATAAGCTGCTTTTATAATGACAAACATGTAGTTTACTTTCAGGCCTCCTACCAGCTCTCAGGGATCACTCACAAGCCAAAATACCCCGCTTTATAATATTTCATGTTAAACTGGCAGCAAGGTCAAAATGAGGCTTTTGCTTATAAAAACATGGAAACTGTCAAAGTTTCAGCACTCTGTGAAAGCTCAGTTTGCATTTGATAATGATCAGCTTTTTATCAGGACAGTTATTAATGCATTTCATCTACTGCCATCATCTCAAAAAACACATAATGCTTGCTAAAATCCCATATTCTCTCTTCGAATGAGATATAAATATACAAAATATTCTTTCCAGGCACAACCAATTGAACTAAACTTTTTAGAAGTCCACTGAAGGCACTACCATTATTTTAAAAGAAGATGAAACATTTGCTCGATTGTTCATAAATCTAACTGTTAAAGGTCCTTTATTATGCTAAATTAACTATTATAATGTTGTTACCTTCTCAAACACATACCTGGAGTTGTGTTTTGTCTCATTCACATGTTTGAGTAACCCTTTATTATTAGTCTATCTGCATCTCAAAAGCTTAAAATGCTCCGTTCTACGTTGTTATGCAGGGCAGGATTTGTGTGTTAAACGTGAATGAAACAAAACACAACTCCAGGTATATTTCTGATGGAGAAACAACATAACAGAAATCAGAAAATAGGGTAATATCAGCCCTTTAAGTGCAAAACATAAAAGAAGGAAAAAAAGCTACTATGTATTGTGTATTTACTTTTGAACATATTACATATTGTTTGTAAAAAATATTATATTGCCAGGCAAACATCGCCATCTTTCATTCACCAGTGTTGAATTTGTGGCCATGCTCAAAGCAATACCATTTTGCGCCAGACTCCTAAAACATCTCTCCGTATTTAAAAGTGGGGAAATCCCTTGTTATATTCATTGCAGTGGCATTACACGCTTGGCCCTGTCATCTCCTGTGTTTAATAGACATCAGCCTACAGCATCAGCACCATTTCTCATCTTACCCACGAGCGACTGGTCAAATAAAGGGGCTTAAACAGGGGCTCTTGTGAGTGGCACCTGCGTTATGCTTCAGAAAGCTTCTTACAGGGCGCTGGATTGGTTTGAGCCCCAGTCCCTAGTAGTGGGTCCCGGCTCCTGGCACCTGCAGCGCTTCCTGCCAAAACTGTGATGGGACGTGACAGCAGTCTGGCAGCCTCCAAGCCTTGTTTAGCACTGATAACTTCATTCGCACAAGAACAAGTGAATCGGCCATTTTGGAAAGTTGTGTAAAAAATAAAAACACAGAAGCATGAATGAATAGTGAGGTGAATTTGTTTAGGTAAGGTAAAGTGCTTTATTTGATATTTTACATACAGGTTGTACAACAAAATAACATAAATAAATACAAAAATGATATGTAAACAAAGAAAGAGCTTCAAAATCCATACAAAAAAGGTACTGTTTGGTCTTGGATTTGAACTCAGAACCTTCTTGCTGTAAGGTGAGAGTCCTAAACACTCAAAAATACCTTCCAAACTTGTAAGAAAACATTTGTGAGAGGGTAGTCAGGTAGATTTAAATACCTGTTTCCTCCTTTTATGGGTTGCGAATCAGGTACACCAGCTTTAATGTCTGTATTATTTATAAGTTAATAAAAACAAAACATTGTGAATTTGTTCTGGTAAAGTGCTATCTTAGACATACCCTGGCCCTCATATTATTGGACGTAGAGGAATATACAGACACAGACAAAACATGCAAAATACAGACAGAAATGCACTGAAGAATGAACAAACTAAAGCTAGAACTTTCCTTCTGTGAAATGCAAGTCTTACTGTGCCACGTCACAAAATATTTCTCTAAATATCGTGTAGTCTTGCAACATTATTTTACCGATACACAACTTTCCAGTAATGTGATTGAAACATGCCAACAATAAACCCATGTTTGGTAGCAGAAATATACAATTATGTGGTTTTAATGCTAACTATAGGCTCTGCTCTGTCTAAGGCTTTATTAGACTCTAATCTGTCTTATCTTATTTTAACACAAGCTGACCAAAAAGTACTAACTTAGCTGGAACTACAAGAAGTTAATCTCAAATAATATTAGTGCCACAAGATAGCTAGTATTAGTCAATTATTTAATCAGTTTTGTCTCTCACCTCTTTATTAAAAAACAAACAAACATAAAAAAAGCACTTAAACAGGACCATGAACGCTCGTATTGATCACAGGCTTCTGAAAATGAGTTGTTTAAATATGTTTTGTATTTTTTCTTGAGTTTTTTTTTTTCAGACCTGTCTGATCTTAAAACTTTTTTGGCAGTGTTGGCCAATGTGTGCATTGTGTCACCATGGTAACTGCTTAGAAATATATGCAGCACACCCCCAGCGTGATGACACTGCAAAGTATGAAAAGTCAACAATATTATTTTAATATAAAGGGTCTACAGCCAAAGCCAATGTCAGTAAAAGCATGTGGTTTGGAGCAGATTTCAGACTTTGGATAATAATAACTGGAATATGTTTTGAGGTAAATGGCACTAACTAAATGTCTGTCTCGACTAAATGTTTGTCTCGACTAAATGTCTGTCTTGTTTATGTTCATGAAATTAATAAAATCCATTTTAATTGAGTTTAATAATACAGAAAAATGAATCAGTATGAGAGGAAAACTGATCTTTCCAACGTTTTTACATTTATACTTGGAGTACTTTTGCTTGGAGGCTCATTGCGATTTGATCCTTGATTTGCAAATTACACTGACAAGCAAAGTGAATGTGCCTGGTCCATCAATTGTGTTGGTATATACATAGCTCTATTTAAATATGCTGATTATGTAATTATGGTATGAATTCATCCTATCAGTCATATCAGCTCCGGTACACTTCTTTGATATTAACACAATTTGAAATCACGTGCATCAGTTCAAAAGGATTATATGAGATCGGTGAAAAGCTTCCGTGTTTGTTTACTGGCCCCGCGCTCACTTTTTGACAAGGAGCCGTGTGACAAACATTTAGAGGATCGATAATCCCCGTTGTGGCCAAAATCAATTTCAAGCTTATAATTGAGTGCCTCATTTGTGGAGCGGAGTGGGGCTTAGATGTTTTAATGTGTTTACGCTCATAACATCAACACTTGACTATGGCAGCTCTTTTCCATTGAGAGAATAGGAGCAGGTTTCCAATGTAAAAATGCAAAACGTCCCGACAGCTGTGAAGAACTAAAGAGGCTGTGTGTAGCTTTAGGCATTGTTTTGTATAGAAATCTTTACTAAATGATGTGCTGCAATATTCAAGCATATACCCAACCCAATCTCAAACATGTTATCTTGACAAAGCAAAGAGGAATTTTGGGAAAACACTGAAAAAAACGCTTTTATTTTAAGACCATGTTTGTTTCAGCGTTCCGCACATCAGTTAATGATTTCCACTGCTCTACTTTTTTCTTTAAAATCAACAAACGCTAAAATAATTTGGTAAAAAAGCTGTTTTGAAGGCGTCTTTGAAAATGCCTGATAATGGCGCTTTCATCCAGCTAACTTCAAACGCACACTAAGGATACAGCAGGTTGAGTTTGTGAATGTTTTTTGAAGAGTTACTGGAAGTAAAGATAAAAGTTGTGGTTTTTAGCAAAGGAATTAAGATTATACCACAAATTACAACTTCTTTAGCACAAATTAATGCCCGCTAATACTCACTTGTCTTCTATGCCGCAATTACAGGAGTCTATTGATTATTTGGGGATGTTACTTTTCAGAGACACAAAGCAAAATGGCTCCACAGATTATAAGGTTAATGTCCTCCAATTAGCAGGACTGGGCTGCCAGACTTTGATTACCGCACATTATTTTACTTTGAACAAGTTGCACGCGGGCTAATTAAATCTGTAATTAGCATTGTGTTGAGTGAGTGACATGTACAGCTGAAACAACACAGAGCCTGTCAGTGTAAGGGTTCAGTAGCTGGTGCTTAATGATGGTAGTGTAACGTAATTATGTAAAAATATGGACTAAACTAGAGCACATTAAATTCATGTTTGTTAAAGTTTAATTTTAGAATCTTTTGGCTTATAAAATTGTTTTGACGTGTCCTTATTATACTACCACACTAAATCAGCTTTGGAGGACTTTTTTTCCATTCAAAAGATTTACAGTTTTGTTTAAATTGTTAATCGTCATGGCAACTCCTAATACATTTTCATCATTCTGAAGAAATAGCATTGCTTTGCAGACATACAGTATTTATCCAGGCTTGGAAATGGCACAATGCAGGGGGATAGCTGCTCAGTTGGTAGAGTGTAAGGGTTAGATCCCAGCCAGTACTGTTGTGGTGTCTTTGGGCAAGACACCAAGCTTGTTTATGTGTTTTGTGTATCAGTGATGACAGTCTCTAGGGATGTAACAATAACAGAAATATCGTGATATCGTATCGTCAAAAGTCTCACAATAATATCGTGGGCTGTCACAATATATCAAATTACAAGTTCCTTTGCT